AACGCCCGAGATAAACGTAGGCTGAGGTCTCATTGATAGGTGTATGTACCATCAATCTTAATTTGACCTTCGTCAGCCCAAGCATTCTTCATGAACTGTGTCTTTCTTTGGTTGATCCGCAACCCTACCTTCTTTCCTACTTTATAAAGTACAGCAAGCTCCCGCAATGCTGCTTGAAAAGAAAACGATTTCGTCCGCAAAACGGAGATCTGAGAGGAACCGTCCATCCACAAGAGTGCCTATTTCGCCCCAATCTAGCGAATTCATAACCCACTGCAGCGCGTGTGATTAACTACGGCGGAATAGCCTCGCCCTGTCTCATGCCTTTCCCTATAGGAATGGCGAGAGGTCGGAACAGCTCCACCGTCGCGCTGCAGCGAATACTGCAGTCAGCTGGTGTCCTTACAAAAGGAGTGTGCACTCCTTGATAGACCAGTTCTGACGAACCGCATTCGGTTCAGCGTTGTAAAAAACTTTTTCATCGTCAAAAAAGGTAGAGGCAAGAGGCATTAGGTATTGGTACATTTCGTTGTCCATTGCGACCGCTTGAACGTGATCCAGGTAGATTAGTCCTTTCCGCAGTCCAGCCTATTCAATAGGTTGAGCTTTATCCAACGTTCGCGACATACCGGTTAGAATGATCTTCGTGAACAGCTTGCAAAGCGTACTCAACAAGCTTATTGGGCAGTAGATGCGAAGATCACCGGGTCATCCTTCTTGTGAAGCATGATCATCCGCAAGTTCTTCCACTGTTCCCCTTCTGGAAATATGTCATGTGTGTTGCAAAAAGCTCTTGAAGTTTGTGACCAAGTGCACGGAGTAGGTCGGATGAAATCTCATCGGGCCTGGAGTTGTGCCTCTTTTCATGCTCACAATCGAGCTCCGAAGGGAGGATCCGGGTATGCTTTTCCGCCAGTGGGGATTTTTAGTTTTCGCACGTATGTCTGAATCTGTACAGGTTGGTGTAAAAGCTCTGTGCAACTTTCTCTATCTCAAATCTCGATGTTGTAAGAGTTCTGCCTCTATTCAGACATCAAAATGGAGTGCTACGGTCCTGCTGTGTTGCCTCCAATAGTCTCCTCTCCCTGTATAGCTGAAGGTCTCGTCGCGCTGCTCGTCTCCAGCTGATATCTGCTTGCAGTCTTTCAAGATATGTGGCATTCTGGTCGAGCCTCAAATTTCTTCTTGTCCCGAGAAGAACCTCCGTAGCTTCCAAAACGCGAGTGGAGGTATCCACTTGAGAAAGCTTGGCTGTTTAGCACAAGTGAGGAGAATCATCGAAGCG